GCCGGAACTGTTTCGAGCAGATACCGTGCCATAACATTAATCTACCATGTATACAGTTTTCAAAGATCCCGATTCAACGAAAGGAAACGGAACAGACAGCTGCCTCCTCACTGGCATAGGGTGGAGCAAGGTGGGGCAATAGCCCCCCCCCCATTTATAAATAAAAATTTTACAATTTTACATATTTACAAAATTATGATATAAAATAACTTGATTTCTAGATAACTTGATTTGAAGGTAAAATAACTTCATTTCATAAAATAGGGGCACTGAAAACCTTTTATTGCGTCAATTTGCAACAATCTGCTGTATGGAGAGGCAAACTGAATTGAAAATTCCTGATGTAAAAATTGCACAGTTCTTGTGAATTGAGGGGCAAGCTTTTCTGGTAGAAAAACTACAACGTTTTGGTAAATTGGCGGACAACTTAAACTTGACTTCCGAGAAGAAGATTTCTGGGGATGATTCCATGAAAATTCTCGAATAATTTCTAGTGAATCCTGCAGATAGTTCCAAGATAATTACGAAAAGAATACCGAGAGATATTTTGAATGAAATTCCAAAGGGATATTGACAAAATTTTCAAGGGAATTCCGAGGATACTTTCAAGCTCATTCGGGGAAGAATTTCTGGAGAATACCGAGGAAATTATTCTGAAACTTTAGGGAAATTTCAGTTCCAAGGTGTTATGAGAAAACAAAAGTTCTAAAATATTCCGAGATGAACCTCAAGGATATTGAATTCCTATGACTGTTCCAAAATATTTCTGGCAAGAATTCAAAGAAAATTCTGCGGATAATTTCTAGTGCATCTTGCAGATAGTTCCAAGATAATTTCGAAAAGAATACCGAGAAAATCATATTTTGAGTGAAATTCCAAAGGGATTTTAAACAAATTTTCAAGCGAATTCCGAGGATAGTTTCCAGCTCTTTCAGTTCCAAGGTGTTCTGTGAAAAAATCACGAAGAGTTCTAAATATAGTTCCAGACGACTTCTGAGAAAAAATTCAAAAGAGCTCTTAGGAGAGTTCTAAAAAATCTGAGAAGAACCTCTAGGATATTGAATTCTGAGAACAGTTCCAAAGGATTTCTGGGGAGTGTTCCAAGAAAGTTCTGCGTATAATTTCTAGAGAATCCTGCAGATAGTTCTAAGATAATTCCGAAAAGAATATCGCTTACTGTCTTTCAGTCCTTCTGCTTTAAACGTGTCGAAATCAATATGAATATTTTTCAAGATTACTAAAAATCTGTGATTCTCGGTAGGAAAAGTGAAAAATCGGTAGTTTTTAACCTTTTGTCTGTGAATCAGTAGTCATATCGAAAATCGATAGAACTACCGATAAAGGTCCGGCCACCCTGCTCGGAAGTTATAGAGCTTTTTGACGTTTAATCGGCGCACACTACTACACCATTTAAATCGAACGAGTACGAGCAAGAGGGAAACAGATTAGTGGTAAAACAAACCGTTCATTCATCCATGTATGCTAGATAGAGAAAGACTATTAAACGTCAAAAAGGTTTATACGACCAGTTGCTGTGCGGAAAATCGGTGTTCGAGATTATGGACGTTGAATCATACGTTAAATTTGATTACAAAACTCTTCCTAGTGATCAGTACTACACCGTTCGTGATGGCCGAAGTGTTGACGACGCGGATAAGTCGATTTTTCCGAAAAAAAAAACGGAAAAAATGCTATGGGCAAGCCATGTGTGAGTGTGGTATGCTTTCCAAACCGTTTGTGACAACGGAGACAATGACAACCGATGTTTAAGTGCGTGAGTGTTCAAACAAGCGTCTGTTACCCATGATCCGCAAACACGACGCCTCAGCACTCTTTTGGTAGGATTTGGCGTCGGTTCATTACTCCAAAGACACGATAGCCTGGTATAGAGCCAACAAAGTCCAATTCGTACCCAAGGAGATGAATCCACCAAACTGTCCCCAGGCCAGGCCAATCGAAACTTTTTGAGTCCTGACCAAAGCATATTTGCGGACACATGTAAAGGCACCGGATTCCGTTACAAAGTTTGTGAAAAACTGGGAAAAAGTATCCAAAATTGCTGAACTGAAGCTACGTTTAACTGTAAGAGAATACTATAGAGAACATGAAAACGAAATAAAAATTGTGTTTGCTGTAAAAAAAAGTTACGTTATCGTTTTTTTTTCAAATCGTGCTTAGACATTCTGCAACACCCTATATTACTAACAACACGTTGATATTTGAGCTTTTTTTCAATCTTTTACAGGTCCAAGTTGTATGACTACAATACAGAGTAGTACAAGCATATCATTTATCGCTATTAACATATTAAAAACGTGTAATGCTCAATAAATGAAAGAATTCCTAGGGCCCATTAAAATGTTACGTAATGCAACAGATTGCTTTTAAATACTATCCACCCCTACATAACGTACTTTTCTTATACTTAATAGAAGGGTTGTAACACTTTGCAATACGACTTCACCAACCAGCACTTGACATACTTTCCTAAACAAATTCCGCATGTACGGCCAATGATAACGACTCAAAATTGAGTAAGAGTTACTCATATTTGAGTTCAGTTATTTATTTATTTTATTGTTCGGGAGTGGAGTAAAAACTACCCAACTAACATTTTCAGCTTTGTAAGCCAACTTTTCCAGCGTTGTGCCGTAAAGTAGCTGAAAAGAAGCTGCAGATACAGCTACAAGCAAAAGCTAGCAAAATAGTTTTGGAGAGCGTTTACTCAACTTTCTCACAACCATTATTCAATTTGTCAGTCGCACTGAATAACATAAGCCAATAAAAGCTAATGTCACTTCTATACACACACTAATCAACTTTCAACTTGTAGCTGCAAAACAAAGCTAACAAAGTGAATATATTACTCATTTGATGGCTTCTAAACAACCAACCACTCTTGCTGAATAACATAAACATCAAAAGTGCTTTTTCAACAACTAGATAACCTGTACTCAGCTTATAAACTGTGTTAGAGCAACTTCGGAAGCATTTTCACAGTCAACTAGGTTTATTTTTAGACGTCTGCAGTTTTACAGCTTTTACTCTGCTCTTTTATAACTAGTCGAGAAAAGTGATTCGTGTGCACTATTATAAAGCCTCTACTCAGCCATTTTGTTGTAGAAGGGAATGTTGATTTGTTTACATAAGTTCAAAGTGTTGGTGTAGCACAGTTGGTAGTGTCAAGGTTTGCCAATGAGGTCGTCTCGAGTTCGATTCCAGGTTCCGGTGCAGGGTAAATAATTTGGTGATGATTTGTAACTAATTTCGATTAATTTGATTCACAGAAAAATAAACTAAATAAATTCCTTCATAAAAAAGCGTAAACAGTATTTAAACCAGCTTCAAGAGAAAGCTGTGTAGTTGATTATTGGATAACCGGGAAAAGGTTGAATAAGCGCCTTTCAAGTTCACACACAACTAAACAGCAGGATAACAGCTGTATAGAAGCGTTAATGGATATGCAATAAGAGCTTCTCCCGACCGTTCCAACAGCCATAAGTAGCTGACTAAGTTCGCCAGATTTGCTTGTATAGAGGTTGAGTAAAGGTTTCCTCATATCGTATAATGTTTGAATACAGCTTGAGGCTGTATAAATGAAATGAGTAAAGCGTTTACATTGTGAAAATTGTTAGTTGGGTACTCCGTGCATTATTTGAACTTTTGTGGTACCCGTATTTGCTGTTTGTATCATGCAAATCGACCACTATTTAACGAGTAGACAGCTAATTGCCTGGACACATCTTTTCTCATTCCGGTATAATATGGTTTATAAAACCAACTACATTTCCATGATTTGCAGACTAAATATCACTAGGTTTGTAAGCCAATACATCCAAGAAATTTGGATCTACGCTTGTGTAATGCACCACAACTGCAGAACAGATGTTCCGAGGTTTCACGTTCCAAATTACAGAAATGACAGATATTACTCTGAACCCGACCAATGTTCTTAATGCGATATCTACTAGGACAGTGCCCAGTTACTAGGCTCCGCACCGCACCCGTTATTGCAATGCATGCTAGACGTTGAAGTTTTGCTAGTTTCCTCTGTGCAGTAGCCTCTTTTTATTTTGGCCACCACACTAACGAAGCATGAGAGTTCAGGTTACTCAAATTCGCGAAATCGTAGGTCACTCATAGATTGAGTAAATTTTCCGAAGCTTTTCCGAGGAAAACTTCATATAAAACTACATATGAGGAAAACTGATTGTGGTTTTAATCTGTCTTCTAGTACACTTCTAACCTGTGTACAATTTTCTTAATTTTTCCCATATCCGAGAAGTTTTCCACAGGAAAGTGTCGGAAAATTTACTCAAACTATGAGTGACCTACGTTTTAGCGATTTTCAGTAATCTGAAACCAAATATGGGAAGCATTTTTATTCCATGTGCGATTGGTTTGGAAAGCAATTTTTTTTTCTAAATCAGTTGGAATAAACTCACGCCGACCCACGAAAATAACATATCACGCCGCCGCCGAAAATATTTTGATCGGCGCACAGGTCTAAAAATGTTTATGATTTATTCTGAAAATAAAGTACAGTCGATTCGGTAAAAAATATACTGAACGCTATGGTAAACTTAACTGATCTTTCAGTGAAATTTACAGTCCAGGTTAGTAAATTTTGCCAGCCCACAAGCGAAGAAAATTTACAGAACAGATTGTAAATAAAAAAAATATCGAATGGATTACCGAATGTTCAGCTGTTCCATATTCGGTAAAAAATTACAGTATACTGTAAAAAAATCTTAGTGTGTAAACCACACACATTCAAGAAATAAAGATCATTCAAAGTCAAACAAATGAGTAGTTGTTCTAAAAGTACTGTAGGGTTGTCCTAAAAACATGTCCTGTTGATTTTTCATGCATCTGTTTGAGAATCATGAGACCTGTGGAACCCTAAGAAGTTGCCCCTCAAGTCCTACCTAATGACCTCGGCAAAATTCCCTAAATTCAGTCGGTTCAGAATGTTTCACCCATGGCGTGTGGAAACTTACCTCTACCGTCAGGGTGCCGGTGATCTTTTCCGTCTCGTATGGCCTGGGCTGCAGTTCCAAGATTTGCGTCGATGCCGGACCGTTGGCGAGTTCATCGATTCCGACCAAACCCAAGCCCAGGAACCTCTGGAATCCGCCGGCGGCTGTGAACGATACCGAGATTTTGCGTCACAATTATATTTAATCGAACAAGTTACTACAGATTCAAAGAAAGCTGGAAGCGGCGCTGTTGGAATGCGAATTCTTTGCCAACACGGTATTTATTCTCAACCGAGACACGCAACCCAGCAAACTATTTAGTGCGATTGATTCATCAAACTGAATGATTAGTGGATTTTTCCAAAGCAAATTGCATGCGATTAGTGCGTTCAGCGAACAGAGGAGTGCATATTACATTTTTCCCATATCGTGCATTACAGAAAAAAAAGAGTCGCGGTTCACTCACAAACGGTGCACTTTTTATGACTGCTGCTATCAACGTCGACGACCGCAGTATCAATTTTATGATCATCAGCATTGTTTTTGCATTGAATGCTGCCCTCGGAGGTATCGTTCTCCATTGTGGTTGTCGTCGATGTCGCTGTCGCCTTTGAGTTAGGGGGGTTAAGGTCAACTTTGGGTTCATTACTATTACTGATGCTATCGATATTAGGGGCATTGTTATCGTCATGCAATTGGGCAACAATCTTATCATCAGCGGCACTCTCATCAACTACACAGGCTAGAACAGGCGGCAGCGGCGGCGGCGGCGACGACGACGCTCCGGTCGTTTTCGGGGCATCGCCCGCCATTGCTAATTCTACTTTTACAGATCTATCAACATCATCATCATCATCACTAACAACGACGGCAAGAACATTGTCTTCATTACCTACTGCTACAGAGTCATACACTTCGAACAGAAGTTCAGTAGAATGGTTCGACAATTCACTACAAAAGAAAATTGGATAGAAGAAAATTAGGAATGAGAAAATGTGAAATGATACGGGAATAGAAGGAAGGGAAAATGATAAACCCGGTGGATGATAATATACTGATGCGACTCGACAGAGACTTACAGAGAAAGTAAAATTACGGAAAGGTGCACATGCATTCATTATTTTGATGGAGAGTACTTACAAGAGGAAGGTTTCGTCCCAGTACGGATTTGGTCCCGCTTTGGCGGCAGACTGGTGCTTCTGAGCTGGCTCGTCCATTTCAGCAACACAGTACGGTTGAGTGCACTGAGGGGAAAATCGTTTGGATGTTATTGCCCTTTGAACTTCGGGCAAGAATGCGACTCACCTGCAGAAGACCATCGGCCTTGATAACCTTGACTAGAAGTTTCTTTGGTGAATTGGATAAACTAGTGCTGAATGCATCATCTTGATACGAACGGTAGCCGTCGTATTGCTGGAGTGTGGAAAACAGTCACATTTAGAAAATCCCTTACTGAATCAATGATCAGACATACCCCATAACCGGAATAATCGAGTGGAAGCATATCCTCCGGTTCCTCGCCCATCAATCGCGGACAGGTCGAGTAGATGGAGAAATCGATCGGATAGACGACGTCCCGGATGGAGGACGTCAGCAGTTCAACGATGAGGTCGCCCTGCTTCTTTTCGTCTTGTGCGTTGGCCGTCTTCAGCGGGCCGATGCTGTTCAGGTGGATTTTGATCTGCAAACGGTTTGTTCTCGTTAGGAAGGGAAACTCATAAAACAAAAACTTCTCTAGAACCTACATCCGGGAATCCTTCCACCTTCATTTCACCCTTGAGTGCAAAGTAGTTGATGATGACACTCATGCGGGTCTTCAATCGGGACACGGTCGCTTTGTAGTGCGACACTTCCGTCTTCTGATTGGTCGATCTGAAGGCTTTGATCTGCAGGACTGGGGTGGTCTCGAGGTCGAATAGAAGTTCCACTTCGTTCGGCTGCTCAGCCGGTTCGCACAGGATGCTAGCCATGTTTGGCGGTAGACTTTCCGGCAGGATGCGGACCACTTCTACGATCATTTCGTGCTGTGGAACAGAAAGAAGGTTGGGAATAAGTCACACAGATCATCACGCTCAGAGCTAGAAGTTGGAAATCACCTGTTCGACATAGGACAAAAGAGCGGTATTGACGGTACCAACCCAGTCCTGCAGCAGCTTGTTCACAACGACCAGATCAGAGTAGAGCCACCTGAACACATGGATGGCCCATTGTACCGATTGCTGTTGATGGAATAAGAGACTCATGAAAACTGATCAACCAAGGCGGGTTTTAAAGGCGCATCAATCCTACCATATCCGATCCATTGATGTTGGACGGGGGCAATACCGTTCGCTTTTTCTGCGACAGCTCGGGACCAGGACTCTTGCGGGAGATTCGCTTCCGGACGATAGCAGTGCCAGCGCCGATTCCACCTTTTGCACCAAAGGCTGCGCCACCAGCGCCGCCGAAGCCACCACCAACTCGGGCGCCACCACCCAGGGCGCCATTTCGTGCCTGTGCAAGGAGAGCATCCTGAGGGTGTTTAAGAGAAAGATAATCTTGTAATATGTGATGGTACAATAACTGTTTATGCATAAAAGTCGCATTGATTGCTGGACAAAACTTGTTTGCGTGCGGTCTTCTATGGAGCAGGTTTGATCTAAAATATCTAAATAATAAACCAAGTTTATAATTCTCCCAGCAAATCTAGATCGCTTCCGAATTCGATCAAATATAACACAATAAATCGAATTGTGAAATTGAGCGAGTCATGTGAGAGCAAAACCATGACACCTTTTGTGATGAGCTTCATGATCGTTTAGTTGAGATATTTATCAATTTTCTTTGAAAATCGAGATATTCTATCCGAGTCATCCAAAAGAAAAATCGACAGTGAGCATGCATAAGGGCCTATACGCGATGATCGATTCTCTTCGTCGATGTTCTCTTTCGATGCGTTTGCTGTTACTTTTGATAGCCAATACAACCTGTTACTACTCTGCATTGAACAAATTCTAGAAAATTGTTTCGCTTAGCTGTAGCAATGCAAAGAGAAAATCGATGAAGAGAATCGATCATCGCGTATTCGCCCTTATGCATGCTCACTGTCGAAATGCAACATGAGCTGTGGGAAAATTTGCATTATACTGACGTTGAAATATCCGGAGTGATTTAAGATTTGGGCGTAATTGCTTTTGTAAACAAACACGTCAATTACTGATTTCTCTTGAATAAAAGCTCAATCTCACAAACAAACTAAACCAAATGATAGAAGAATCATTCCTCTACCTAATAGTGTTATTACTTTTCAAGATTGAGCTTTTATTCGCGAGAAATCGATGATTGACGTATTTGTTTACAAATGCAAATACGCCCAAATCTCAAATCACTCCGGATATTTCATCTAAATCCAAACACATTCAAACTTTGTGTAAATACACTGTAAGCACTTCCACTACTATATACACATTTAGCTGTCAAAGCTGGTAGTTGCTGTGTATGTTTTCATTTAGTTTTTGAATTAAGCACTTCTGACGGTGCCGGTGGTGGAATGAAAACAACATGGTGGTAACATTTATTTAACTAGATTCAGTTACATTCAAGCTGCCGAAAATTGCTGTGACAGAAGTGTGCTATTTGGGAAGCGTGACTCGTGACTCGACTGTCTTCTCATCTCATTATATCTGGGCTTAAATCCAGATCTGTGAAGTCGGACTCGAGCAGTCGGAGTCGCAGTCGGACGCATTTTTGAGCATAGTAAGTCGGAGTCGATGAAAAAGTATCGACTCCGACTCCGACTGTTATGAAATAGTAAGTTGAAACATGACCAATTCGATTGAATTTGAATGCCTGTCATGAAAACTAACTAATGAACCTCCTCATACTACAGATTAAAACGTACCGTAAAACGCGGTAACATTGATAGTTTTTTTAAAGTATATTCTAAATACTTTTTACAGCAATGAATGTTTTTCAAATTTTATATTTTTAAAACAAGTACTGAGGATAGAAGAGTTAATTCGTTAGTAATATGTTTAACGGAAATTAACTATTTTTTTAGTTTTGTGACCGAACTTCAGTATTTGGGATTACTTTGATAATGCTCGATGAATGTTGAAAAAAATGGATGAAACTCAAACTATTTAGTTCTTTAAATATGAATCTTTGAATGAGTATATAATCAGAAAACATCATAAGCAATAAGAATACAACATTTAATTTGTGATGGCTATATCGGAAATACATTTCATAAGTGATGGTTTGAGTACTTTTTCAAACAGGCGAAAAACACGAAAATTATTTTTTAATATGTTTGTAAAATATGGGACACATACTATATAAAAACTATATACGATATAAATGGAAATGCCCTAAGCTACAATATGGAACCAATGTTTCTAATTTGGAAAAAGCGCAGCGAGTAAATTTAATCTTTATATTATATTATCAAAGTTAGCCCCGTTTAACGGTAATGATTTCAAAGTTTTTTTTTATTGAATTTCTAGTTTCACGTTGGCATAATGTAAAACTATTACTATTTTCCAAATAACTACGGTTTATAAGCCACATAACAATTAATATTCCTGCTATTCTTGGTGAAAAAGCAAGTTAGACAGTTTGTTTTTTTAAATCAACCCCCTGTATTTTCTAAAACTTCTGATTGCTGCATTATTCAAATCGAAAAACGGGTTATTTCCTAGTCAAGGAATGGTTTTAAGAAAGCTTTACTACAGAACAATTCAGAATTTAACACAGTCTACTCTCCCTAGATCGAGAGCTAAGGGACCATCGATTTGGGGGGGTAAATTTTGGACATTTTTTATGAACAAAGAGGTATAATTATTTCTGGATTTAACTGGATTTCCATCGAGTTAGGGAGAGATCGAGTAAAGGAGAGTTTTACAGTCAACTCTTCCAAAATTATTCAAAAACACTTTGGCACTTTCTATCAAAAATTCGCTTCGGTTTTGAAACAAATATAAAATGCTTAGTTGTGGCCAATTTCTCCATTTTTTTCTGATCGATAATATTTTACTCAAAATTATGTCGAATTTAGAATTTATTAGTGTCTATTTTCATTGCAAAATTTTGTAATCGATTTTGTTAGAAGTGATGAAAGATTTTGTTAAAGATTTTAACTTTTTTCCCGGAATTTTTTTCCAGTACTTGTATTTTTTTTAATTGGAGTCGGAGTCGAAGAGCTGGAGTTGGAGTCGATTATTTTCAAATCAAGGTAATCGGTGTTGGAGTTGATCAATTATCATCTGACTCCACAGCCCTGAGTTCAATACCAACCAAAGTCGTTGGGATTTTTCTGAGGCGTCACGTTTTCCTTCCAGACAGGGTTCTGGATGAATCCAGGCATGGATTCTGTATGAATCCAGACAAGGATTCTCGATGAATCCAGACATGGATTCAGGATGAATCCAGACGTGGATTTTGGATAAATCTAGACATGGATTCTGGATGAATCCAGACATGGAAGAATCCAGAAATGGACTCTTGGTAAATCCAGACATTGATTTTGGATAAATCCAGACATGGATTCTGGATGAATCCAGACATGGATTCTAAATGAATCCAGACATGAATTCTAGATGAATCCAGTCATGGATTCTGGATGAATCCAGACATGAATTCTGGATAGTTGCTGACAGGGATTCTGGATGAATCCATACAGGGATTCTGGATGAATCCAAACATGGATTCTGGATGAATCCAGACATGGATTTGGATGAATCCAGACATGTATTCTGGAGAAATCCAGACATGGATTCTGGAAGAATCCAGAAATGGACTCTTGATAAATCCAGACATGTATTTTGAATAAATCCAGACATGGATTCTGGATTAATTCAGACATGGATTCTAGATGAATCCAGACATGAATTCTAGATGAATCCAGAAATGGACTCTTGATAAATCCAGACATGTATTTTGGATAAATCCAGACATGGATTCTGGATGAATCCAGACATGGATTCTAAATGAATCCAGACATGAATTCTAGATGAATCCAGTCATGGATTCTGGATGAATCCAGACATGAATTCTGGATAGTTGCTGACAAGGATTCTGGATGTATCCAGACATGGATTCTGGATGAATCCAGACATGGATTCTGGATGAATCCAAACATGGTTATCTTTATTAGCGAGACTTTCAGCCAGAGGCTGGTTCATCTCTTCATCTTGATTCATCCAGAATCCAAACATGGATTCTGGATGAATCCAGACATGGATTTGGATGAATCCAGACATGTATTCTGGAGAAATCCAGACATGGATTCTGGAAGAATCCAGAAATGGACTCTTGATAAATCCAGACATGTATTTTGAATAAATCCAGACATGGATTCTGGATTAATCCAGACATGGATTCTAGATGAATCCAGACATGAATTCTAGATGAATCCACTCATAGATTCTGGATGAATGCAGACATGAATTCTGGATAATTGCTGACAGGGATCCTGGTGAATCCATACAGGGATTCTGGATGAATCCAGACATGGATTCTGAATGAATCCAGACATGGACTGGATGGATCCAGACATGTATTCTGGAGAAATCCAGACATGGATTCTGGAAGAATCCAGAAATGGACTCTTGATAAATCCAGACATGTATTTTGGATAAATCCAGACATGGATTCTGGATGAATCCAGACATGGATTCTAAATGAATCCAGACATGAATTCTAGATGAATCCAGAAATGGACTCTTGATAAATCCAGACATGTATTTTGGATAAATCCAGACATGGATTCTGGATGAATCCAGACATGGATTCTAAATGAATCCAGACATGAATTCTAGATGAATCCAGTCATGGATTCTGGATGAATCCAGACATGAATTCTGGATAGTTGCTGACAAGGATTCTGGATGTATCCAGACATGGATTCTGGATGAATCCAGACATGGATTCTGGATGAATCCAAACATGGATTCTGGATGAATCCAGGCATGGATTTGGATGAATCCAGACATGTATTCTGGAGAAATCCAGACATGGATTCTGGAAGAATCCAGAAATGGACTCTTGATAAATCCAGACATGGATTTTGAATAAATCCAGACATGGATTCTGGATTAATCCAGACATGGATTCTAGATGAATCCAGACATGGATTCTAGATGAATCCACTCATAGATTCTGGATGAATGCAGACATGAATTCTGGATAATTGCTGACAGGGATCCTGGATGAATCCATACAGGGATTCTGGATGAATCCAGACATGGATTCTGAATGAATCCAGACATGAACTGGATGAATCCAGACATGTATTCTGGAGAAATCCAGACATGGATTCTGGAAGAATCCAGACATGTATTCTGGAGGAATCCAGACATGGATTCTGGAAGAATCCAGAAACGGACTCTTGATAAATCCAGACATGGATTTTAGATAAATCCAGACATGGATTCTGGATGAATCCAGACATGGATTCTGGATGAATCCAGACATGGATTCTGGATGAATCCAGACATGGATTCTGGATGAATCCAGACATGGATTCTGGATGAATCCAGACATGGATTCTGGATGAATCCAGACATGGATTCTGGATGAATCCATACATGGATTCTGGAAGAATCCAGAAATGAACTCTTGATGAATCTGGGGATTCTAGATAAATTAGATAAATTTCAACAGAGATTCTAGACGAATCCAGACATGAATTGTAAATGAATCCAGACATGGATTCTGGATGAATCCAGTCATGGATTCTGGATGAATCCAGACATAAATTCTGGATAATTGCTGACAGGGATTCTGGATAAATCCAGACAGAGATTCTGGGGATTCTGGATGAATTTAGACAGAGATTCTGGGAATTCTGGATAAATTTCAATAGAGATTCTAGATGAATCCTGGCGGGCATTCTGGATGAATCCTGACTGAAATTCTGGATCAATCCTGACAGAAAAATATAAATTCACGATGACTCCCCAGAGAGATTCCCATTCTCCAATTCTGGATGAATCCCAACGGTTTCTGGAGAATCTCAACAGGGATACTGGCGAATTGTGACAGGAAGTCTGGAGAATGTCATTGGTAATTCTGGAGATTCCGAAGAATCGTGACAGGAATTAACTGGATGATATTTCGTGAAGTTCCGAGAAGTTGCGATTTATTACAATTAGTTCCAAGAATTTCTAAGAAGAGAACTTCCAAAGAAGTTGCGAGAACTTCCAAAGAAGATGCGATAACTTCCAACAATTATGTGATTTAGAATATTCAGTTTGAATCATTTATCAAACGTGTTGAACTAATCCTTTTAAACAAAATTTAAATAAATTTACTTTGATGCTGAGTTAATGAATAAAAGGGACCTGCCTGCCTCTGGCTACGCTTGGGCTACGGCCAAAATGTCAAGGACGTAAAAATCCTCGTTTCAACAAGAAGACTGAGAAAGTCACACTTGGAATAAATCTCGATTACTTTGTCGAAGGGACGTATCAGCTTTTGTAAACAATGCATTTGATCGTCGGTTTGGCGTAACTGGTAGCTCCTTCACGCATACTAACACCACTAACAGGTAGGGGAAAATTGCGAACTTCCAAGAAGTTGCAAGAACTTCCAAGAAGTTGCGAGAACTTCCAAGAAGATGCGAGAACTTCCAAGAAGTTGCGAGAACTTCCAAGAAGTTGCCGTAACTTCCAAGAAGTTGCGGGAACTTCGAAAAAGATGCAAGAACTTCCAATTGCGAGAACTTTTAAAAAGATGCGAGAACTTCCAAAAGGTTGTAAGAACTTCCAAGAAGTTGCGAGAACTTCCAATTGCGAGAACTTCCAATTGCGAGAACTTACGAGAAATTATGAGAATTCCCGAGAAGTTGCGAAAACTTCCGAGAAGTTGCGAAAACTTCCGAGAAGTTGCGAAAACTTCCAAGAAATTGCGAAAACTTCCAAAATATTCGAGAACCTCCAAAAAGTCTCGAGAAGTTTCAAATAGTTTGGATAACTTCTTAAAAGTTTCTAAAACTTCCGAAATGCTCCAAATGTTTCCAAAATGTTTGGAGTACTTGAGAGAAGTTACGAGAAGGTCAAAAAAGTTCCGAGAAGGTCAAAAAAGTTCCGAGAAGTTATGAGATGTTACGAGAACGTTCGAGCAGTTCCGATAAGTTGTTGCGAAAACTTCAGAGTAGTTCCGATAACTTTCACAAAGTTCCGAGATGTTCCGAGATCTTCCGACTCTGGATATTTAGTACCAATATCTTTTGTGTCAACTCCAGAGACTTTCTGGGTAAACTTCAGAGATTGAAGGTAGTTGAGTTCAACTTGTTAGTTTTAGCTTTATTACGTCCCCACTGGGACTTAAATCCAGCTCTCAACTTAGTGCTCTTTAAGCACTTCTACAATTGTCAATCGAGAGCTTCCTAAGCCTGTTTTTTTGCATTAGCATATATATTGTGTGGCAAGTACAATCATGTTCTATGCCCAGGAAGAAGTCGAGATAAATTTCAACACGAAAAACTCCTAGACCGGGAGGGCCGCCTCCAGGATTGTCTTGATTTATAGCTACGCCTTTACCGACTGAGCTAAGGCAGGTTGGGTTCAAAAATCTTACAAGTCATCTCCAGATACCTTATAGCTCAAGTCTAGAGACCCTGTGAAGCAACTCTGGAAATCTCCATGATCAGAGGCCGTGTAGTTAGGTGTTACGGACAAAATAACTAGATGTCATATAAGTAAACTATAGATTACTTATAGCACATTAATTTTATCTCCAAAGTGCTCTTATGGTTGAACTTTAGAAACGTTACGGGCTATGACTATGGGTAATGTTATGATTTTCCAACCTTTTTGGAAAACGAATGATTCTTCCCAGGGTTCTTCATATAGGTTCAATAGGGAAGAGTCTCTTAGCTCTTGAGAGCAGGCTTGACGATCCAGTTGGGATGTAAGTTCCGTCCGTTTTCCCCTGGAAGTTTCTTCCAATTTCTCCCAGATATGTCTTTCGATTTTCTCTGGAAGTTTGTTTTTCACGACGTCTTTCTGTGTTTCCTCGGAAAGTCTTTCAGACTTGCTTCATGGGGTTCTTTGCATTTTACCCTGAAAATTCTTCTAACGTCCCTTAGAATTTTCTGTTAATTACGAGAAATGCATGTTTTTTTTTTTAATCACTGTGTCTCATTTTATAAATTAGTCATACCCATTAAAAATACAAGGTCTTATTGATTTTATAGAAGCTAAGAAAACTTTTTTTTATATTATATAGAATAATATATGGTTTTTCAAATGACATTATTTTTTATGTTTGCTGCAATCAAGATATTGACATTTGAAAATGGGGCATTTTTATAAGAAAAACATCAAACACTCTTGATCGGCAAAGGTATTTACAACACGACGCCTCCGGTAAAATGGTATTGGCGAATTTAAAACTACATACTTTAAAGGTTTATTCGGTATCATTAGATTTGAAATTTATTCATAAATTGCTGAGCTATGATTTTTCAAACATAGCCAATTTTCCATTACATATTTTACCGAAAGCATCGTGTTCGGAGTATTAAGGCAAAATTTCGAGGTTTAAAGACCTTGAAAAAAAAAGATCATTAGTCAAAAATTTTGAACTAATCCTTTTAAATAAAATTAAAAAAATGTATTTTGATGCTGAGATAGTGGAGAAGGGTAGTGCCCCTGCCCCTCTGACTACGCTTATGCTACGGTCAAAATGCCGGGAACGTAAAAAACCATCGTTTTAACAAGAAGACTGAGAAAGCCACTCTTAGAATGAATGGCCTCAATCAATGGTTTTCAGGAGCATGAATACCAGAATTGGAACTCGTCATCAGTGCTTTTTAAGTTGTTATCAATCCTTGTTCAAAAACAATGGGATTGCATTCTAAGGTGTATTTGTTTAGTTCCTTCAAGGCATGTTCCATGCTAAGAGGAAGAGGAGAAAACTGGCTTCCTTTTTTGTCTGTGACGTGTTCTTTTTCTCTCGCGGAAACGACCGTGCAAAATGAGCGGCGCAGTCGACTGTCAAAATACAAGGAAATAGATTCCCTGTTGTAAAAATTCTCGCGTTTCTATACGTTCACCCGACCAATCAGACGCTGGTTTACGTTTGACAGAAAATTGGTTCAAAAAAGGCCCCCAATTGTCTCCTCTTCCTTTTAGGTTATATATATATATAAATTAGACTGGTCGTTGAAACCTTTTCAAATGATGCTTATAGGTTAAGGATTTTTTAGGCTCAATAAGATTGTAAAGATCTTTTGGTCCATATGTTGAGTACGAGGCATTTTCGAGGAATCATATGCGACACTAATAGCTGTGTTAAACGTCTGCTAACGAATCATTGTGATAGTTTATACGCTGAAACATTTTGCTTCGTGAATTTCATAAACTTACCCATGTAAACAATGTATGGATGCGCCACTTAAATAACAAAAATTACGAAATTATCATTAGTAGATTTGCGAATAATATGCCAAAATCTACATACGCTGCTAGCAATTGTTCTAAGCATAATCAACGTTCCCTAGCATATCTGCCTTTCGTATCACATCCAAGCCCAATTTTCGTAGCCTTCTTAAATCTGCACAGCTCTACCGTTACCAACGTTACAAAACCCAATCAACACTCACCTTTTTCGATGCATGCACCTCCTTCGGTTCGGACAGGCGGGAACCATCCTTCGCGGCGGCGCCACCGCTAGGCAAAAGTGCACCACCGGCCACCACTGAAGATGCCACTGCCGACGAGCCCGTTCCGGTCGTTGTCGTCGGGGCTCCATCGGCCGAGACGGAACCCTTCTTCACATACTTGTCGTACAGTAACTTCGAGAGGAAAACTAGCGCTATCACTACTACGATTAACGCGAATAGCAACATGACGAATGTGTCCATCGTTAGATCACCGGCTCCTTCAAAAACACAGATATAATCATCAATTTGGTCAGCCAAATCTTCGGCCATGGTTGGTGGTGGTTGTGGTTTTGGTTTTGGTTGTGGTAGTAATAGTAGTAGTAGTAGTGGTAATAGTTTACTAGCAGGAGGACGGCGACTATTGCGACATCCGCCGCCACTCTAGCTTCAGAGGTGATGATGAATGGTGATTTTATTTTGAATTTTATTTCGAGTTGGGATGGTTTGTATTTAGTAACTAGATGGCGCTTTGTGTATTTTTTGGTTTGTTTGCTTGATAGGGAAGGTTTTCTAGTTGCTATATAGAAGCAGTGAAGGAAGCGGACGGACTTCCTTCTCACTGGACGCGGAACTCAAACTCGACTGGACTCAACCAGGTGATGATTATGACTTGCTATGTACTGATCTAACATGGAGAAGGACTACGATGGGGATTTCCATTAGCCAAACCGGTAAAAATAGATTTGCTGTTTATGTTTGTAAACTAAACACACACATGGGAGCATCCATAATTTCCTTTTATCTCAGCTTAGCACAGCATCTAGGTATATCATAGCCAGCACACACACACTTTACCCTAGCAAAGAGTTTCGGTCAGTCAGTCAGTCAGTCAGTCAGTGGTTGGTTCACTCATTCACAGCATCTTTCTCGCGAGGATGTTTACTAGAAAACGCCGAGCACCCGCGTGCAGCTGTGCTAATTGATACTGAACTGGTGTTTGGAATGGTGTCGATCGATGACACATCAATGTAGTCGATTCAATTTACACTGGTCAACTTAGAAGGCGAAAACGCATTTGCTTATTGGGAATTTCTAACGGTGCGATCCTAATGAATACCATCCGTCTCCATAATCACTCTTGAACGTTGAACAGCAACTTGGTCAAGGCATGGGTCAAGGCATGGAGCATTTTGAAGAAAACGCGAGTGATGTTAAACTTCTTCCGACTACGACTCCTCAGCCCTTTAAGAATAGTTAAGGAATTCTGAATAAACAGCTACCATACCCGAAAGATCACAGAAATGGTCCAACCATTTAATATAAGGTTTGAATGATATCACGAATAAGTGGTTAGATACTCCTTAAAGTTGTTTTCTTTGCGGTTAAAAACACTCCTCAATATTCCCCAAGTATTTTTCAAAAATTCCCATTGAATTCTCGTCAAAATTTTCTTGACATGCTCCCAAAGGTTCTTTGATATCCTCCTTAGAATTCATTACGTATCTCATGGAATCTTCCTCGTAATCTCTTTGAAACTATGCTCGAAGTTGATATTCTCCTTAGATTCCCTTTGAGTTGTGATTAAAATGCACTTGACCGAATTTCCTAGGAAGTAATCATTTAGTAAAGCTTCTGCATTCATTTTCCATCAGATGTCACTGATGTTGTTTGCGGTGACATCTATCGGAAACTACGCATAATCTGTAATCCGTTAATTGTTCACAGAAGACAGCGCAGTGCAAAACATGTGTGCTACCTCTATCAGAGCTGGTAAATATCACGGCCGTCATGTGACAATGAGAAAACAGGTCCTCTCACAATCACGAGACGAAACGACCGATTTTTAGTTTTCTTGTCATTTTCCAATGATCATGAGAATAATTCTTATGCAGTTTTGACATCAACATTTCTAACTGATTTAGATGAATTTAAGCAAGTAACCATATGTAATCGGTAGAGTGAATATATTTTTAAGATTTTCTTGGTACAAGTAACTTTAATAGCAATACATGAGCTAGTAATCACGATGATCACAGCACTGTCACGTTCTGTCATAACAAAAAAATCGATGAGACTTTGAAGAAAATCTCTGTTATTGTTTTCTCATCCGATGATAGAGACAGAAGTATCTCAGTAAATATCGCGTGAGATCTTTCATTGAAAATGACATTTGCCAGCCCTGACCTCTATACATGCATTTAGCAGAGATGATGTTATATAAGAGACGCGCGGAGAGAATAAAAGTAAATCTGGTTGCACGGTCAACTAATTTATTTTTCTGCAAAATTTGGCAACCCGCAGTTTTGTGTTTACTTCAAATGACTTTTAATTTGAGCGACTGTCGTCTGCTTCAGCATTCCGGTAAAATGAATACTTTTTTAACCGTATCGGTACACGATAAAAAGTTGTCTCGTCTAATCCAAATGCTCTTGCACTTGACTCAGTCTGTCATCCGGCACTACGAATCGAAGTGATTTATCATTGATTTTCAAGTTATTTGCGTTTTGAAACAAAGTGATTTGTCGTTGAAAAATATGTACTGTATAACACCTTTAAATCAAAATGATTATCATTTGAATCGTCATCACTGTTTTCATCCATTGAATTTGATTAGTTTTGCTTTTGGAAGCAAATGTCAAAAACGCACATGACAAACATTACTGGCGAAGATGGCAAGGCAACAACAAATGAAGTCAAGTGAGAGAAGCGATAATGCTCCATCTCCACCCGAAATAATTTGCGTTCTAGTGCGTGAGTAATACGAAATTGTTGCTGTCTTCAATAATAGTGTATTATTCAGAAAAGTTCGATTACAAAACATTGCCATACTTATCAAATTTATTGCTCAATGCCTCGTCTTGCATCTACTAAAAGCCTTGCGATGTTGTTCAATATCACTTGGAAACATGTGATCTGGGTAGTAATATGATATGGTCATATTTTGAATAACATATAACAAGGCTTGCAGTATGAACAAGGCAATATATTTATTTAAACCCATTTTCAGCAAAAATTAAACCCAAGGATAAATTAGTTAAACTTAAAGTGATAGATTTTTAATATCAGTATGGTTGACATTTCAAGTTCAAAGCACAGCACATCAACAACGATGTGTAATACAATCTAAATGAAGTGATTTGCTGTTGATTTCATCGTGCTTCGATATGATTTCTTCCAAGGGTTTTGCACATCGAATTGCAATGTTTGCAAGTAGTGCAAATTCAACAGCAAATAACTTTACATGAACGTGATGTTTTTTTTACCGTGTAGTATCGCTATTCAATGGAAGTATTTGAAGACTCAATTTTTGACAACTCTGAGTGAAACTAAATATACCACATTGGAGGATATATTCTACAGAGCGTTGCACTAAATTATTCAATCTGCAATTGTTGCTTCCTATCATGTATATGTGAAATCTCCTTTTAAGTCGTTCACAAATTTTAGTAGAGATGAACTAGCCTAAGGCTAAAAATCTCTTAAATAAAGAATTTAAAAAAAAAAAAAAGTTCACAAATTTTATTATCTCGAAAAATTACACCGGAAACGCCTTGATCTTTGTTGCAGAGCCTGTGTAGATGTATTTCGTTGTGCTGGAGCAAATATTTCGTGAGAACATAACGAGAATACAGCTATTGAATAACAATAATATTCCCTGTCCAATTTCACTTGTCATACGCAAACTTAATTATAATTATTTAATTCTCAACACTTAACCAGCGTGTGGCTGAAAATCTCCTTAATAAAAACAACCAACCTCAACAATTAAATTCAACCCCAATCTCAATACTTCCCACGCTTTTCTTCGTGAAGCGCTCGTGTTTATTTACATTGCTCGATTGGAACCGCGTTTGACGGTTCGATTGGAACTTTTGGTTTCAGTCTTCGCGCGGCTCTTATTTAACATCGTGTCTGGCATTTAGATTAACATCCGAATTCCCTCCCCTCGCTTAGAAAGTATACAGGGTGCGTGACGAATTTTTGCAGTAAATGGCATATTTGAGAAAAAATACACCAGTTAGTTATTCTAGCAATGAATTTTGTGCGATTTATTTTCTTTCGTAACATATGGAAGTTGTAAGTAAATTTATTCAAAAAAAATTGCCTTCCCTTTCGACGACTGTAGTTAGACGCTTCCGGAAACTGCAGTATGCACGTTTTAAAATGTTTCGATCCATAGATGTCATCACTGCCTTGATTTTAGCTTTTAGCGACTTAAGTGTGGTGTGAGGGGTTCTACTGGTATCCCGCTGAACGACGCCCTATACAAAATAATCCAACGGATTGATATCGGGACTGCTTGGGGCCAAATTTCTTCCTCCCTAGTGGAGGCGAACCAGCCCAAGGCTGAAAGCCTCCTTAATAAAGCTAAATAATAATAATTCCTCCCAAATTTACGAAATATTTTCCGTAAGCCATTTCTGTGCTTTATTAGCAGTATGAGCAGGTGCTCCGTCTTATCACTTTCCCAAGCCTTTTTTAATATTATACACTGTTCTTTCAGACACATTTACCGACCGAATTATTTCTTTCATGCATACTCCGGCGCGCAACAAAGCGACAACGGCTGACAGATTGCTCTCTTGTTTCGACATCTTTACGTTTTCTCAACATTGTTTGTTTAAATCTTACACCTAACAGTATAAGCTATCCAGTGCTGTCAAATATATCTAAATCATGATGCACAAGCATGAGAAATTACTATTTGAAATTTACTGCAAACATTCGTCACGCACCCTGTATTTTGTGCAGAGTATGCAAATAATGAGGGACTTCGAATTATAATCTAATAGCGAATTCGTTTATTATCGGGGTTGGAACCAGTTCCAACCCAGTGCGAAACCGAACTTTTTGTCAGTGCGAACCTTCTTCTTCTTCTTCTTCTTCTTCTTTCCTTTATTTAACGTCGGTCTCTGTTCCGCAATCTAGTGCCAATCACCGACGGACATCGATTGCCATCCATTGATGGCAATCGAATGTGCAGGAAGGCAGTTTCCACACCTGCATAGTATATCGCACCAATTCAAACACACATGGGCCGGGACCACAGTTCGAACCTCAATCTGAGCTGGGTTTTAAAAACAAACGAGCAACTGACGTTTGTCAGAAAACAAGCAGATCTATTCTTGATACCCGATCCAGGTTGGAACTGAATAATAAAAGAGTTCGCTATAAATACATACGTTGAGATACCAGACATGCTTTGCTGTGTCAGGGACTCTAGTTTTTAGTCTGTGAGAGGGAAATCACAAATCGAGTGTCATCAAAATACATGGCA